AAATTAATGCAAAATGGTAAACCTGGGAATCTTTGCAACACATTAAAGAGTATGCAGAAGAGAATGAAACATTGTAATTTGCACAAGCGTTAGTGGTCTCTGGAGTGAAAACTAAAGGCATAATGAAAAGCCTCCCGTAGGGGCATTGGCCTGTGTTCACCTCTTCTGTCCCAAAGGGACCAAATTAGTCACTTGGTGGTCACTGCCTGGCCTGTGGACCCCCAACAGCTCTGTCTCAGCACAGTTCTCAGAGTGTCTGTTCTGATGCCTGGAAAGGCAAGAGGCTGAGCTGAGGGGGCTGAGACATTCCGCAGAGCTGTTCAGCTGCTGGACCATCTGGAGGGGAAATAAAAGGCCTGGGCCAGGGGCTCTGGCATTGTGCTTATTTATTATTTGGTTTTCACTTGCCAGACTTTGTCCCCTTTTCACTTCCTCCACCCCAGAACAGAGTGCTCTTTGGCTGGGGTACCGTTCTTACACGCTCCTTTCTATACTTTGGATGCTGGCAGTTCATAAGTTCACGTATGCACTTCCTGCTGGCCGAGTGCTGGGGACTTCATTTTTCCAGCCACGCCTCCCCCTAATTCCTTTGCAGCCCTAGTTGGCACTGTGCTCCCATCATCTGCCATTCCTGAGGGGAGCATAACCGCACAGATCTGTAGTGGACATCCCCATCAGAGTCTGCAGCATTCTGGCAGCCTTTTTGAGTTACTTGGAAGGAAAATGCTCCAAATAATTGTCATTGTGGGTGGTTGTTGGGTGGTAAATGTTTTGATTAATGGCTCTGTGCATCTGCCTCTTACTTAACTCTCCCTAGTTAGAACGCCAAAACAGTGCCTGCCCTGGCCCCTTAATTCCAAAGCAGCCATAAAAGCTTCTGACCATTTCATTGGGAAAGTCATTGGTAAGGAAAGACCCAGGTTTATGACAGTCTTCATAAAACCGGAATTGTTCTTTGCAATTGGAAGGAGGATGTATTGCTCAAAAGCAAACTTTTAAAACCTCTGAGTAAGATCCCAGCTCCCAGTAGGTGTCGGCTGGGTCTTGGCTCAGTGAGGCCTTAGACTGAATGCACTAGGTATAGTTAAGTGTTTCTTTGGGGGAAGCAGAGTAATGATTATCAATTCCTGAGCTATGCCCATTGTGAAAGATATGAAGTTCTGCGTGATGGTTTTAAATAAAAATTTCTTCGCGGCCCCAAATCCCAAAGCTGCTTTAGAAAAAGTGCTTATTCCATCTGTTTCCCTAGAGCTTTGTCTGTGTGCTGTCATCATTCAATAAATGGGCCAGGGAGTGTAGGTGTGGGCGACCCCACCTTTCCCCATTCTGGGTTGGAAAAGTATAGCCATGGAGTGTTCCAGGGTGGTTTCTGGTGCTCAGAACCATTCAGTTGGCGGACACAGAGGTGGGGTTTGGGGTGCCAGGGGCTTCATTTCAGAGGTCTCATTTGTGTGTTCTGTGCACACTGAGGGGCAGTATAATTTGGAGTCACACTAGAGTTCAGTTCTTGGTTTCAGCTCATATTAGTGCTGTATCCTTGAACAAGTTGCCTGAGTTCCCCCAACCCCAGTTTCTACATCTTAAATTGGGACATGATCTATGGACTTCAAAGAATTTGGAAGATTAAGGTGATACTCATAGCAAATCCTCAGAAGTAAGTCAATGGTAATAATTTCTTCTGAATTCCTAACTACATTTCGGCCTTTCTGCTTTTGACATTAAATATATCAGTAATCTGCCTTGAAAGATCAAGAAAGAGCTGAACATGACCTGCTGCCATTACCATGCAGTAATAGAATGATGTTTATATACATAGCTCTCGCATCGCCCAAGCTCTGTTCTGTTGTACACGTCTCACATCTCCTGCTGTGCTGCGTAGAAGATAGATTTATGGCTGGTTGGCTTAAAGTTATGCCTCCTTTGTAAGCCTCAAGCTCTTTCTTGGTTGTTTCTCAGTTCTGCTCTTGTACGTATGGACTTTCTCTGGGATCCATTGCTCATATTCCTGCCATACTTAACCCTCAGAATGGTTCCTGAAGATGGGTCAGTATTGTTGACAGGCCTTGATGGAGAGTTTTAGCAGATTCTCCTCCAAAGTTTCATCCCATAGCAACAACCAGCACCCACAGTGCAGCTGTAGTTTGTGAGTTTGTTTGCTTCATCTTTAACCTGTTGAATTAAGCTTCTGATGGTTCTGTACGGTTTGGTGGTCACTGTTGGCCCTGCAGTATGTCTCAGATTGAAAATGCCCTGCCCCAAAGGACAGAAAGGGAGGGATGAATGTGTGCCTGTGGAAGAAACAGGTATTTAAAAAATGTTTATGTGCTCATTTCTGTATATCTCATTCAGGGTTAGTTTCTTCTCAAGGAGTAGCCTTACACCAAGCTCAGTTTACTGAGTCCCTGGTATACTATTAGTACTTTAGATGACATAAAAGAAATAGGAGGTGTGGATCTTACCCTTTGAGAAATTTCTGCCAAGTGGGAGAAAAAATTTTTTGCACATGAAATTACTGACGAAGATTTGAAGAGCAGCGTCAAAGCAGCAAAAGTGCTTTCAGTGCCGGATGAGCACTGACAGCTTGTCACTATGCATAACATCTTCTGGATGTTTCAGCAGGAACATTTGTCCCACAGGAGTGGGACTTCCCCCACCCATCGGTCAAAAGAATGGTTTCGTCATCATAGTGTCTTGGGAAGGAGGAGATGAAGGAGACAGATCAGAGAGGAAAACTGCCGTAAAACGAAAGACGTTTGTTTTCATGGAAATCCCATGTGCTCCTTAAAGCAGGCCATGATAGCTTATCAAATTCAAAGCAGCAGAGAAGTTCTGAACTCAGTGCACTATGAGTTTTATTGCTCTCTTTTATTAGATGAACAAATTGCCACCCCTTCAAAATAATTTTGAGAGGGGGAAGTGTTAGGATTCTTTTGCTTTTGAGTATGCAAAATCAAAGGTACAATAATGTAGCTTTTCTGAAGTTGATCAGATTACAGCCCAGGGGACCAAAAAACTCCGAGTGAGCTGAGCCCCAGAGCTATGGCAGCACAGGAAGTCCCAGAGCATCTTGGGGATTCTCAGCAGGTCTAAGTTGACAATTAGCTGGGACCCTAGGTGAATCTCAGTGGCCTATCTCAATGCCTACCTCTTGTGGCTTTGCACCTCACTTTGGTATGTCTTTTCTGACGCTTTGCTGTTTATATAGCACTCTCATCTTATTTGGAAAACATTTACATAGTGATTAGTTAACCCAACAGACTGAACCCTGGGAAGGCAGCCAGAGCCAGCAGCACCTTAGCAATGGAAAACTGCTAATCAGAGGAGAGACCTGGAGCCTGGGCCTGAATTGTGGCATGTGGCTCTAATGAGCGGCCCTTGTAGAGCTTGAGCTCGTGGCAGAGCTGTTCATACTCATCTTCTGCATCCACCCAGTTTTCTAGGGTTGTGGCTCTATTTTTAAAGAAAGTCAGCAGTCTAGAGCAGTGATCACAAACCTTTTAAAGCTTCTAGTGATACAAATAGCCCGTTGCCACATGTGTGCCATAGGTTCGCCACTGGCCTATGGCAACACTACTGATAGATCAGTGAGAGAGCTTTCATCTTCAGCTCTAGCTGTGTTCACTATCCTAACTTACCTGTGCCCCACGTAGTAATGACCTGCTCTCTGGAACCCCACCTCATTCAGGGAATTTCTGACCCAGGTCTTGGTTTAGTAAAAAGTGGTGCTTTTGTTGGGGGTGGGTGTCATGGTAATGGTGGGAATTGAACACAGGGCCTTGTGCAGACTAGGCTAGCACACTGCCTCACAGCTGTGCCCCTGGCTTCTGGTTAAAGGTGCTGCTTTTATAGGCAAGGGGCTGGCTGAGAGCCTTGTTGCTGATGGCTGATGTCACTGTCTCAAGGGGGTGTATTGTGTTTAGCATCTGTTGCATCATGTCCCAGTTGCTTCCAGATGTGCAGATTTCAGACCTGCATTGGAAGATCTACCCCATGAAATCACAATTATGGTGCAAAGGAAAACATTTTAAAGTGTGAAGTTCCTGGAATTTTATGATATATATTTTTAGTTAAAAAACAAGACTCGAATTTTGATGACTCCACTCTCCTGAGGAAAGTGGTGGAGTGAACAGCCTGGGGTTGGGGTGGGTCAGAGACGTAACAGGTGGGCAGCCAGGGGAAAGAGGTGAGATGCTTGGGATAGGGGAGGCACCCCAAGATGAGATGCTGTAGGATTCATACAGGGCAGCCCGTGGCTCCTTCAGACTTTCTGTTGGAAGGTTGGAGCGGTGTTTTCCCTTTTCTCTAGGCAACTAAGCCTTACCTCAAGCTCCTTGGGACTCCATCAGGCTTCAGGGAATACTCTTCCTGTCACACTGCGTGTAATTGTACCAAGGAAGTTAATTGAGTTGCTTTTGGGAGAAGGTGTGTGAAAGGCATCTGGTCTCCTGTAAACAAAGAGGTGGTTTTGTAGCAGGCGTGTTCGGCCAGAATCTTTCTCTGCAGCCTCCCGGTAACTATTCCAGGGGCATCGAGGCTGAATGAAGTGGAACTAATCAGGACGGCCACATTGCCAGCATCTGGGCTGCTGTTGGGAGCTCGCTGACTTGCGGGGAGGCCTGGCCCTGGAGTCAGTTGGTGTTACCAGTTTGCTCATTTGACCCCACTGTCAGAAGGGGCCCGTCACCTTTCAAAAGTGCTGGCCAGATGAGCTGACGGGGAGAAAGCAGCTCTTGGACTTGAATTTCCAGATTGGCCATCCCCCCGAGGACCAGGCAGGAGAGGAGGGGCGCTCTGCCTACGTGACCCCCTTGTTCTGGTAAAGTCGTCCCCAACTGTGATCCGACCTTGTGGATGCTCCCCTGGTGTGAGTGTGGGTTGAGGTCTTGTGGTGGGGTGTGCTAGCAATAGAGTGCTGTACATTCAGACAGGTATTGGCTGGCCCAGGAGGTAAGTGTGCCAGGGGTGACCTACCCCAACCTCTCTGTCTCTGTCCTGCACAGGTGAGCGCCGTGGGCTATGGGATGGATGAGGTGGAGCAGGACCAGCATGAGGCCCGACTCAAGGAGCTGTTTGACAGTTTTGACACCACAGGCACCGGTTCCTTGGGACAGGAGGAGCTCACCGACCTGTGCCACATGCTGAGCTTGGAAGAGGTGGCCCCTGTGTTGCAGCAAACGCTGCTTCAGGACAATCTCCTGGGCAGGGTAAGGTCTGGGGAAGTGGGTGTGGTTTCTGCTGGGGTGGGGAGGGTGGCGCAAGCCACTCTGTGTTGCAACTTGTTTCTGGCAACCTGACCTTTAACCTGGGAAAAAGAATACAGTGTAGTTGCTGGGCGACAGGGTCACTTCAGTTTGTGACCTGGAACGCAGTTGTGCGCTGAGCATCCTTGGTAATGGATGGAACTTTCCCAAGTTTTTGCTGATTCCTGTGGATCATTTCCTTAGTGCCGCCTTCGTCACTGGGACAGAAACGAAGGGGGTGAGGTTTTTAGTGGAAGAGAAGGAAGATAAAGTAAGAAAACTGCCTTTCACAGGAAAGGGGGATTTCTGTTACAGTTTTTATACTTAATAAAACCATTCCTTGTGTGGATTGTTTCTGGGTGAAGTATTAATTAAGTCTTCCACTCAGAAAATATGGCAAGAGAGTAAGTAAATACAGCACAGCTTCATTTAAAACCCAGCATGACTCACTGCCAGCAGGGACTGTGTTCATGCCAATGTTAGTGTGCACATTTGACAACAAATAATGATGTTTTCCCCAGGAATCAAGTCCCAGGCAGGTGCAGGGGGTGAGACAGGGTCTTTTTTTTCCTCTTTCTGTTTGTGGGAAGGACATTTGATCTGACACAACTTGAGATTCCCTCTGTTCTCCTAATGGTAGTTAATGGCATCATTTATAAGCCTTTAAGTGGACTGTTTTGCTGTTGGCCTTCACAATGGATAAGAAAATAAAAAAGGAGGCAAAACTTCTTGAGCTGTGTTGCTGATGCTGCTGACACTTAGCAAACAGTGGTTTGAATCGTGTGGTGTAAATTGAGGAAGAAGTCGTGAAGCTCAGCTTCAGTCTAGTGGCTGAACTTCCTCCTTTCTCTTTCAGTCCCTTGGCTGATGAGACGGATAAGTGACCTGAGGTACAGTGCAGTGTATTGCCTCCCTGTAACCCAGGAGACAGAAGTAGTACTCAGCCTGCAATTAATATACAAAAGATGGTATTCTCAGAGGCCTGGCACCATGAATGCGGTGTCAGAGAGCTTACACTTGAAAGAAATGTGAGTTCTCTGCAAAAAACTGGGGCTATTCCTAGCCACCTCGGAGCTGCTTGTGCAGTCCCTAGAAAATGCTAAAAATCTTGCTTTGAAAGCAGCAAAAAATGGATACATGGAACACTGAGACATTTGGTCCTCGTAATGTAGTGCACTCAACTGATTTCGAGTTCTGCCTCGATTTGGACACAGTGGGGAGCAAAAGAGAGGAGTGTCTGAGGTCTTTCCCGTGTCTGAGTAATAGCAGCCAAGGGGAGCTGTGTTTTAATGCTCCTCAAAGCCTGAGAAGACATGATAGGACTGACAGTCTCCTTGAGAGGGTTCCTCGGAGTCAGCGTAAACATGGCAGCCTCTGCTGAAAACAGATCGCGCCTTGGCAGCACATTAACAGTTTGCCTTCCAGATGTTGCACATCTTTGCCCTCGTTTGGGAGACTCCAACCCGGGAACAGTTATCGATTGATTTGTTAATGACTTGACACCACCCGCCTGCCTTTTATGTTTACGATTTTCCTGAATAATGAATACCTAAGTGGTCTACAGTGTGATATTTACTTAGTGAACCGGTGATAAAAGTTAAATAGATGTTTGCATGTTGATTTCTTGGGGGACATCCCTGGTGATCTCCCCGAGCACAGGGTTGGCATGAATTAATGCATGACTGTTAAATTTTCATTTTTTACAAAACTGAATTATTCTCCTCCTCAGATGATCACATCAACTTGGCCATGTGCTGTTAAGATGCTCTGGATGGTCTGTAATTTTAAATTATTTTAAATAATTTTAAATTATTAAAGGAAATAATCCTTAGAACCCTGGAGCGATTCGAGTGCTGTCACCTTGGTGACATATGGAACAATGATCCTAAGTTGTAAAATTATAAGATTTCTAAAACAATGAGTGTAATTTTTACATAGCGCATAGTAATTATGCATATTCATAGAATACAGCATGGCATCTGAGTGGATACGTGTATGCACTGCATCATGATCAGATCCAGGCAACTATCACCTCACACATATATCATTCCTTTGAGCGGAGAATGCTCAGATTCCTCTCAGCTATTTTGCAGTATTCAGTTAATTGTTGTCAGCCTTAGCTATCCTACGAGTTTCTTTTGAAGCCAGTCATCCTTTTCTTTAGAAAGTGCAGACAAACTTATGAGAGTTAGTGGGCTGGTTTAATAAAAAAGGAGAAAAAGTAGCATGGCAAATCCAAGCACCTTTACCCATTCATGAATCCAAGACATTTGCACATACTGTCCTGTGCGTGTGTCCTGGGTGTGAGTTTTTCCACTAGTCTTTTAGTGTCAGTATAACTTGTTTATATTCATGTCTGCTGTGAACTACAGTTTTCCATTAAATTGGATTTGAATGCGTTAGGATCCATCAGCTTCCTGGATACTATGGCTTTAACTTTATCTTTTAAATCTTAATAAGTATAATATTTTTTTTCAGGTACTGGGAGCTGAACCCAGGGCCTTGCCCTGAGCTACATCCCCAGCCCAGTTTTGTTTTGTTTTGTTTTGTTGTTCATTTTTTGAGACAGGGTCTAAGTTGCTAAGCTACTTTGGCTGTCCATCCAAAAGTAATGGGGTTACAGATGTGCCTGCCACTTCTGGCCGCCTGGTGTGTTTGTGAGTTGTTAAGGAAAACAATTCAGATCCACTTACCATTTGCCATTTTCATGCATCTATTGCTTGGCCGATTTTCCATAGATCCATTGGTCTTGCTTTGCAACTTGGGCCCATATTCTTCTGATCAAGGTTGTTACTACACAATGTTTGATACGCTGTGAGCTTGTAAACCCCTGATTTGAAGGAACAGGGACAGTACTGATATGTGTTTCCATTCGATAATCCAGAGGGCTTCATCCCAGTCTTTGCCATCAGTTAAGCACATGTCAGGTGGGTGAGGCCCCAGCACAAGGCATCCTCAAGACACTGAAGAATTTATAGTCGAGTTGGGTCATGTCTCTGATGGGTATAAGTACAGAGCAAGTATTACTGAAATGTGAGAAAGAGGGAACCTTGTTAGCTCTCTGTCTGGGTTACTTTGTGATTGCTGGGAATGAATACTCAGCACTCATAACTTAAAGGGGGAAAGGTTTATTTTAGCTCACAAGTTGTAGAGCTGGCTCCAAGGCAGGGCAGCATGGCAGAGGAGGAGAAATGGTTCATGGCCCAGCAGCCAGAAACAGAGAGAGAGAGATCAAGGGAGAAAGGAGGGAGATTGACCTTTCCAGGCCACACCTCTCATGACCACCTTCTCCGACCAGGCTTCATCACGTTTGGCCACAAATTCATCTGTGGACTCACCCACTGCTGGGTGTCACGCCCCCATGACCTAGTCCCCTCCCAGAAGCCCCACCTAAGAGCACATGAGGCTTTGCGGGGGACATCTAGATACAAACGTAATACTCTACTGAACCAAGTTTTATTCTAGCAGTTGGTACCAGTTGTCAATTCTTCTTTCCTGTGTCCTTTATGTTGACTTACTTTATGCAAAGCAGGAAACGACTTTGTTTTTCCCACACTGTAGGTCTTGCAGGATGAACAAACACTTCATCTTTAGAGAATGAAGATCTGAGATAGAATCTAACATCAGGACACAAGTGTAACAACTGTTAGCTCCTGTCCTGCAAATCTCCCGGGTCTGGAGATTTGCAGCAGGGAACAGTGTCCTGGTTGGCTCTGTGCCCGTTTCTCTGCCATACTCTTCCATGTCTCTGCTACCGCTGACTTCCTCAAGCTCTTGCAAAGTGGGATTTGGAGTGGGATGGGGGGTAAGAGGCAGGACTAATCTTTCTTGGCTCTGTGCCCTCTGGGTGCAGCAGGTGCCTCTTGCGGATTTCCCACAAAGTCTCCCACTGGGACATTTCCCAGCCCCTCACTGGCTACTGTAATACACCGTCTGGCTAACGACTCCTCACCTTCTTCTCTCCATTGTTCCTATTCTTCCTCTGTGTTCAGCAGTGCTGACTGATTTGGGTTTTGTAAATGGCATCATAGATCGTGTATTCTTTTTTGGAGGAAGGGAGGGTCAGGCTTATTTCACTCAGCGTAATCCTTTTCAGATTCTTGGTCCTGCTGATTTTTTTTTTTGGTACTAGAGAGCGAACTCAGGACCTTGTGCTTGTGAGGTAGGCAGCGGAACCACTGAGCCAAATCCCCGGCCCTCTTTTCAAATTCTTAGTAGTGTCCTTTTTCAAGATCCTTTAAGGCCAGCTACTTCCCATGGGTGATCAGGGCCCATGGGAAAATCCCCTCATCTGAGACGTGTCAAGGTGCAAGAGCGCTCAGTCCCTGCTGTCTTTCTTGTGCAGGAACGTCAGGCTCTAGGGTGAGGCCGCCCCAAGGCACATAGGCAGGCTCTCCAAGTACATGAAGGCCTGCTTCACTAGGCTTGAGGACAGAAAAGGCATCTTTGTGCTGGTCTGATGACTGGGGCCCCTCTGCAGTTTGCTGGGGCCTGCGGTAGCCTGTGTTCTGACGGGGGCAGTAGTTGGTGGCTTCCTTAGGTCACTGTTCCATGTGGATGGGCTGGCGCCTTTCTTTAGAGAACATAGTGCCCACGCACTCTGTTTTTAGCTTAAGGCCCCACTTTTTTTTTTGCATGTGTGTGATGAGAATATTTGAAGTTTACTCTCAGCAATTTTGAAATGTACAGTACACTATTTTAAACTATAGTCTGTGCAAGAGATCTAAAAACAACAAAATAAACCTGTTACTCCTAGTTGATTGTTTAACCTTGGACCATCAGCTCCTCATTTCTCCTCCCTCCGCTTCTGATAACTGCCATTCTGCTTTCTGCTTCTTTGAGTTCCTTTGTTTGAGATTCAACATCTAAGTGGTCATGTTCAGATTTTGCTTTCCATGCCCAGCTTCTTTCACTTAACCCAGTGTTCTCCGCATATATCCATGTAGGAACAAATGACAGGGATC